TTGCATAGTCTAGGCTAGAAAAAATATATAATTCCAGACATTCTTTTGAAATTTTCGAGGTTCCTCCCCTATGTATATTTTCAACTTTTTTGGAATCCTTGATTTTTTCTGAGGAACGAAATACGAAATATGGCCCTCTAGTCTTTTACACTTGTTTTTGCTCTCCAAAGTCAAATTTCATAATTCCCATATGTTTTTCACTGTTTCTGAAACTTTCTAATGTGATTTGTGAGCCTAAGACTTTGCTATTCTGTTTTTGATTGATCTAATTATAAAGTAAATCTAGGAAGGGTTTCTTCTTGAAAATGCTTATATTTATTTCATTTTTTGAAATCCAATTTTTTGATCCCCAAATTTTTTCACTTTTTCAAAAAATCCCATTTTCAAATAGTAACAGTTCAAATAGCCACATTGTTTCTTGCATCTTGAAACATCAGTTTTCCAAACTTTCGTGTTCTCAGAATAGAGCTGGGCTTCAAAGTTTCCAAAACATTTTCACATTACAGAAGAATTCTCGTTATTATTTTTTTTTATTGTTTAAAAAACTACAAAAATGGTTTTCTGCAGAACTTTTTCGCTTTGTACACAAATTTCACAGATTCTCCTACTTTCCAAAGAAATAAGACCACCCCGTGCGCCAAGTTTGAAGAAATTCGAAACAATTAAAAACCGGAGAGAAAGGAAGTTTTGGAGAGAATGAAAAACGAATAAATATATGCATACGTACATGAAAAGAGAGACTCATTTTGTATATTGATCTAGGTAGTCAAGAAAATACAAAAAGCAGAAATTAAGAAGGAGGGGGATTCAGTGAACCGGAAACTATTGGAATTAAGGAGTAGGAGGATGGAGAAGCATAACGATTACATAACATATGCAGATGTTTTTCTTGGAGAAGGATTTTCGAAAACTCTTGATTAAGAATATTAGAGAATTAGAGGTTTAGGTTCAATAGGAAAGTTGCTCAAACTTCCCGCTTTTTATAATTTCCTGTTTCAAGATCATCGATTGAGTTTGGTGAGGGCTTTATTCAAATGATCTGTTTTTAACTTCCATTTCTTAATATCGAATCAATTAAAAGAAAATTCATGTTTTTTCTGTTAAATCAAAGGTTTCTGTTTCACATCTGACATATGAAACTTCTAACTAAACCCTTTGTAGTTCTTGTCACTTGATCATTTGACTAAACTGTTTCATTTTTAACGGGATAAAATGCAGCAAACACTCTAATAGAATAACCCGTTCCTCTCCCTTAATTTTTACTTTGAGCCAAGTTGTCTCATTTTCTGGGAAAGTTATTAAAAAGTGGTCAACTGATAAATTATTTCTTATATCATGATAAAAATTTTGTCAGTTGATCGCTTTTTGATTCCTTTTGCAGGGAACGAGATATTTGAGCTGACACTTGACAGTGTATGGGCGTTCTATTACATGTTTTACAGTATATATGTTTTATGTTTCTGTTTTTTTAAATCTGATGTTTCGAATCTGTCACATTAGACCTCTAACAAATTTCATTGTGGTTCTTGCTACAAACATTTACTATTACCGTATACAAATGTGCAATGTCTTTCAAGATTTTTTAAGCGGAGCAATTTGAAACAGAAACCAATTTTCAACAGAAATGAGCAATTTTTAGGGGTACCTAGGATACCCATTTTTAAAACTACAGTATCCAAATTTTCCGCTCATCTAGAAATTTCTTGAATTTTCAGTTTAATATTATTTTCCTATAGAAATTCAGGAACAATTTATTATTGTTTTTTCAAGGTAATAATTAATTCTTGGAAAATATAGTTTTGATGCTTCTTGCAATTTTTTTAAATGTCCAGAAATTGTTAAGATTTCAGTTTTATGAAATTTCTAATTTTTACAAAAATTCCAGCACAAATTCGATAAATTTGACACTTTGGTGTATGTCTGTGGTTTTTTGATATTTTTTCCTGTTTCAAATGTTCGATTTTAACATCCACTTTTTTTCAATTTCAATCGTTGACTAGTTGTAGACATCTCAAAATATTCGTGTTTCCCTTTTGTGTTCGCAAATTAATTTCCATAACGCATTGTTCCTGTGTATCCTACTCATCACCAATTCCATAGACCTTATACCTTCTGTCTATCCTCTGTCTCTCTTCATCAACTGTGATGGTCCCCTCCCAAATAATATGTACATGTGTCTCTCGTCCACTTCTACCAAATACCCTTCAAGGCATTATACCGGCTCATCGAGCCCTGAACACCACCTGCCATCTCTACACTACTTTAGGTGAGGTATCCATAATTGGCAACCTCAGAAGGGGGACAAAACGGCAACTAAGCTCTTTCTACTGATATATTAAAAGAGTCCCCGAAGGCTTACTTCACACCTGTCTATTATTTTTTGGAGACGAAAAAAGGAAAATTTTTATATGTGTCTTTTTTTTCTTGGAAGACGATTTTGCTAGATTTCAAAAATTCCCGTTTCACGATCTTCTCATAGCCTAAATGACTTTCTCAATCAATAATAGAAAATTCGCCGAGAAATTAAAAAAAATCACATTTCATTAAATGTTCTGAAAGTAACTGTTCCGAAATCTTCTGATAACCTTACCATATTTTTTCTGTGCGTGCCATAGAATACATTTTTTCCAGAATTTTCAAGTTAAAGCTCATAACTCCGTAAAAAATGAATTTACACGAAAAACTACTATGTTCTCAGCTTTTTTATAGCCTGTTTTTTTATAGCCAGCTGATCATACTTCTGATACTTTTGCAAGCATTTAAATTTCCAACCATGCAGAGTCGTTAAGCCCAAACTTTGTTCAAAACCTTCTATTTTTAACTTCACCTGTTCCAAAAACAGCTGATTTGTTAGAAATCGAAAGTAGTTACAGTACGATGAAGGAAGTTTCAAAATTTTTCTGTTGCAAAATTACCACAAATTTTAGTTTTTCAAGGCAAATTTTATTGGGTACGAACAGTTCATCCCAAATCTGGCCATCCAAAAAGCTTCGTTAAATTGCAATCTTCTAAAAATGTTCGAGTTAGAGACATTACTTGGCGAAACTGCAATTTTTCTAAATATTTCGATTTCAATTGACTGATTAAATATTTTAAACCTACAAATTCGTTTAAAACAGTTTGAAGGAATAGAAAACCTTCATTTTTAAAAAAGTTCCAGTACTTTGAGTTACCGTAAAACCTCTAATAGAACGACACCCGGATCTCCACTTTGAGCCTATATATCTCACTTCTTTTGAAAGATATCAAAAAGTGGTTAACTAGTAAAATGTTTATCAGGATATCAGCAACATTTTACTAGTCAGCCACTTTTTGATATCTTTCACACAAAAATGAGATATAGAGGGTCCAAGAGGAGACTGGG